CATGATGGGTATGCAATGTATTAAATGTTTCACAAACACAGGGATATAAGCTGACATAAGACATACCATCCACTTCTCTCTGAGACTTAGTGCCTCTTGGGAAACCTCAGATCTGTAATTATACATTTTAAATAAATGAATTCTTTCTGGTATTTTATATGACATACCAGATTGCATTTTCACATGTTACATTGCACTGCAGATTACTAATTGAAATTTTAGTGTATAAGAAGGATTGAAACTTGATTTGACTGTAAGAAAAACTCATGTCAGCCTGATAACAGCAGATATGTGCAACTAGATTTCAGGGTTGTTACATTGCAGTGTCCAGGAACGTTCCACTTTCTTTGAGGTGGGAGGATGTGATGAAGCTTCACTGTAATGTGACTTACTGGAATGCATATTGTTTCTGTTGTATATGTGAGTTGCCAGATCTGCTCTAGTGGATATGTGTTTGTATGAGATATCCTCCCTGCTCCAAACAATCTACATCTAAGCTACTGCATCCAGCAGCTACCTTGGCTCAGAYGCAAAGGCACTGAGTTCAGTCCATAGCACCCTGGACTACACACCATGCTGTTTAGTCAGTCACTGTGAAAGCTCTGTACATGTGGGGACAGTATCATTAAAGCATGTTACAAAAGCTACTTAAATACATGGACTAAGAATAACCTATTTAGTGTAGCTGTTTTTGGCATTCCCACTGAAGATCGGGTGGCAAAACTATGACTTTCTTTCCTAGTATTTCAATCACCAAAYTCAGCACTTTGTGAATACTTCAGAACACATGCACTGTTCTTGTTTAATTTCTTTTAGGTTTTATTTCTAACCAAACAGACCTACTGAGATCAAAGATTTGTTTGCTGAGGCAACCTAGTGACCATTTCAGCATACAAGCATCCAAGCAAATAAGCACCCATATCAATATATTAACATACAAAACACTAATCATAACATCAAAGACTCCTAAAAACTTACTAGAAACAATTACAACTTGTTCCTATAATCATTGCAATTTATACACTTATAAGAGGATTGCTTTTAAACTGCCATAAGCCTTTGAAAGTTGAAACGCTGAAAACAGGGAATTTGCATGTTAAAAATGAGTTGCACACCAGGGTCTTATAAATTCTTTCTATTATAATTACAGAAAGCCAACACATTCATTTTGCAACCTGAAACACCTGCAGTACTAGAGAACTGGGCTCATATCTAAAAAGGGCTGAGCTGCCCTTCCTTTGCAGGTTTCTGATTGCTACCCAAGTGAAAGAAGTTGCAAAGTGCTCTGACTATAATATTGTGAGGCTTCTCTTCATGGATCCCGAAGTGCAATTTGCTATTCATGGTACTGAATACATTTCATAGGCAAACTTTTCCATAACTTTCTTTTTAATGTAATGAGAAACTACTTTCACGCCAAAAAACAGTTTCTGAAAATTCCCATAGGATGATGTCATATCAAGTATTATATTCTYGCTGTAATTATAATAAAACTTAGCACATATATACCAATAAGACTTTTCATCTTCAAAGTACTTTAGAAACACTGACTAATTCATTACAGTTTCAGTGCTATCTGGTGATTGAATCTATTGAGATATGAACTTTTTTTCAAACACTAAAAACTGTCTTCTGTTTGGCACAATCTAACTGGAATAAAATGTTATTCTTTAYATTCAAATAGGCTGCTTTTTGTTGTACTAATGATGCTTGGTATTTTAGTCCTTGGTAACAAAGTATTGTGTGATAATTGTATAGCAGTCGAGATAATTTCTCATACCTATGCTACATAACGTAGATGCATATTATAGCTGAACTGAACAATCATGATAAATACATATTAAATACCTGCAACTTCACTAAAACAATATGGGAAGTAAGTTGCAGATGTGCTTTATCTTCACTACATTCTGTTCRTTTCTTTGCACTTCGCTCTGTTGTTCCTGAAGTACCTACACTTGCCTTGAACCCTGCTGGGATTTTTGTACTAGAAAGATTAATTGGTTTGGATCACAAAACAATGTCAAATAGAAGATGGTAAAATAAATAAATACAATAATGTTTCTTCCTTCAATTTGTATCTCATCATTCCAGGTTACATTGCCTTGATTTGTGTTAGCTTTCTATCTCCTGTAGTGCCATTACCTCTAATGAAATGGTGTCAGCTGGCATGAAGTTGTAATTCGATGTTATTTTGCAGTTGCATGCGTATAATTTTGTTAGTTTGTTTAGCAATATATTGTTATTTCTGAAGGCAATTAGCTGAACAAAATGTGTGGAATTGTATATGTACGTGATTCGGTCACCTAGGAGCTGTTTTTCTCACTGTACCCAAGATAAGATGAGTAGACCAAATTGGCAGATTTCTAAGAGGAAAATAAGTTGGAGAATTGGCTAGCACTAAATGTTAGTGGTCAAACAGCTGCTGACTTGGAAGTGTATGCAATATTTCTTTTTAGCTTATTACGGTGATACCTTTGAGAACAGATTTTTCCCCCAGACCTTTTGCAAGAGCACGGGAATGTCATCGTGACTTCCAGCTCCCTGGAAGCTGCAGGCCCTGCACTGCCCCTTATATTGCCTACACAAGAATCACAGGGGCATTCTCAGAATTGAAAGAGGAGATCAGAATATAGGTCCTACTGAAAGTGAATCTGAAATGACCAGCTGACTCCCTATTTGCCTTGGAAACCTCCGTAATAYTTTCCCTAGGTAAATAAACATGAAAGTGCATGTATACATATGAAGCACCTATATAGGCTTGCATTGCTATGTTCACACAGTGGAATCTCAATTCAGATTTATATAAATTTGTGGATTAAGACACTTTGCTTATTTCAATTCATGCATTAGAGTACATTGAGGATGAATAGCAAAATAATTATTCAACATTTGAAATTAATTTTATTTAGTCTAGGATAACTTATTTCTCTCAGTATTCTTTAAACCTATATTCCAGCAGCACTAAGACAAATTAGGAAAGGGGAAGCCAGCTCATTAGCAGCCTTTTTTACAAGTTGTGATACGAGCTTGTTACATCCCTGACATATGTCATTATCTTTCYCATTTTCTAAAAAAGGAAATATTTGCAACTGTAATTACACAAAGAATCCTGCTTTTTGTTTTATGAGTTTTAGCAGCTTCTCTCAGGTTAGTGATCTCCTGGGTGAAGCAYCTGAAATTTTAAGACTGATTCTGGGAATTCTGTTTTAGATAGATTTCCAAATCTGTTCTTTCAAAAGACAAAGACAGAGTTTCAGTAATTTGAGATCCAGATACATTTGAAGGAAGTATTTGTGCACGAACTGTACATTCATCACAACTTAATGTACTTGAGCAACATTCATCCCTAACATAGCACCAGATCTGGTAAAGCTGTAACACCAGAGGAGTCCAACGGCAACCTAGGAAGGGACAGGGATATTAATGGTAAATTGTCAACTAGGAATGTAAGCGATTAAAAAAAAAAAAGAAATAAGACTGAACAGAAGAGGAACTGTACAAAAATGCAGGTGCCACAGACTGAAAAAAAAAACATGCTCATATAACACACATTTTCATAGATATTATTTAAACCATTTCTGTGCAATGTATGGATACTGTATGTTTAGTGGCATTGTTAAAACAGGGTGCCTGTACAAATATTTAGCTGTGGGAATTATAAAATCATAAGGCGATTAAGTTAGCTAGTTGTGAAATTCCAATATTGCTTTTTAAATGACTTCAGGATATAGGAGGTGCTAAGGTTATTATCTGTTATCAGGAATACAGCGGAATTGTACGACTGGATAATAACTAAACAACTGACACAATGTAAAATTACATTATCAGTGTGTTAAAACAAAATTGCGCCCTAAAGGAGTCTACATGCCAGCTCAGAGCTGCAGTGTAATTATGCTTAACTCTGATAATTAAAATACAACGGAGATCAACAGAATCATTTTCATTAAGAAAATTATTAATGATGGTGGTATAACAGTAATTGATTGCAGAGCACCACAGGATAACTCGGTGCAGGAAAACCAACATGCTTAAAACACGGCGGGGCCTGTCGGGTTGCGCTGCCGAACGCGGAGCTGCAAGTTCAGGCGGGAGCCGCAGCGAAGGTTTCCTCACAGAAACCGAAAATGGCCACTTGGAAGGGGGGCCGGCGGAGGCGGGAGGATGCGGATGGATGTGGATGGATGCGGGGATGGGACGCGTGCGGCCCCACAGCGCGTCCCGAGGGGCTGCGGGCGCTGCGGCCGTTCCTGGCGTGCGTTCCTCGGCCATCCCTCGGGGATGCTGCTAATTGCCCCCGTGGCGCTGAAACGTGGTACTGAACGACACAGAAAACCGCCACGGAAAACCGCCCTTCCTCCGTACGAGAAATCCCAGTTGGTGCCCRCTGAGAGACTGTAACCACATCCGAGCTGGAAAGGATGTTGCCTAAGGGGAGAATGAAGAATTCTCATTTTCTTTTAGTGAGCCTGGAAGCAGGGGGGTATCACAGGGAGCGATTCTCCACCTCGTGCAGCCATGGGTGCTTGTTGTTCAAGCAGATGCTGCTTTTGAAAGCTGCCCAAAAAAGTCCATTCTCCAATCACGGCAGCGAGCGAGCCTGCGAGGGTGGATTTGCAGGATGGGATTAGCTAAAATGACAGCTGCCCACATCGGAACTGTGTCATGGAGCTAATTTGTACATAGGAGCCACGAGAGAGGCCAAACGCAGGAGAGGGCAGAGCTCAAGTCGGGTGCCAGGGGCTTTAGGCGCAACCTGTGCTCTGCTCCACGGGCGCTCCCCGTGCACGTGGCAGCCACTCGTTGGCGGGTTTTAGCTCGGTAAATAACTAATTGCTTTCTTACTTCAGCAGTGCTCAGGGTGCCTTAATTAGCTCGTGCCCACATCGTGCTTTGCAGTTACAAGTGGTGCAAAAGGATCGTGTGCCAGTGCTGCTTAGAATGGAGGTAATTTTTAATTAATAGTGGACATTTAAAATATCTAGTCTATTTTTTACCTCCATAGGAAAAGGCCATTGTGGCAACACAGGATTTCTTTTCTGTTAATGACAGAACACTGTTTTTCTTAATTGTTGTATGTGATACTTCATACTGTTTTCTTTTCTCTGAGAGTGACTTTTCAGCTTGCAAATATGCTTTGTTTTTTTCTCCCCCGCCCCAATTCTGAGCAATGTAGTGGCACATTGCACCAAAGACAAGTAACATCAGGGCCCCTAGAAAGGTGTGGGTCGAACATTAGAATGGGTTTAAACATTGCTGTGTTAGGATAGGAGTATATTTTGKTTTGGGTCTGATAATATATTATTTACTAGGCCAGCAGTTAACTTGGGGCATATATTTCAGATTTTCTTCCACGTGTTATTAAAAGCAAATTCTGTGAAGCTGCTTAGTCCATTGCACTGCAGGAGCTGCTGCAGGAGTGTGAGTCGCTGTGGCTGCCTCCATTTCTAAAGAGGGTGCTGAAACCTTAGGTGGTGTGATGGACTTCTGTCTGTATGGAAAACAGAGGGGTTTTATCAGAATGAATCTGAGTCTCATGCGGATCTCAAAGGTCCTTGGAAGACCTTCTTTTACACTTATTTCTCCCTGACACAGAAAATCACAAAATATTTCTCCAGAGAAGTAATGCTTTCATAAAATAAAACAGCACCTAAATCCTCCTCAGCAGTTGCCAACTTGATTGGGAACGTCTGGAATCCCCTGTCATGAGCCAGCAGGGAAATAGGCCCTTAGGTTCCCTGGAAGAGTGTCTCAGACTTAGACATAAAAACACAACCAGCAGAAACAGAGAGACCACGGGTCATGTCTCGTTTTGCAGGGACCTTGAGCAGGCAGGATGCCTAATGAAACTATTACAAACAACTAATGCAAATCAGTTTTGCTACTTTCTTCCCTGGCTGCACCAGAATACAAGATTTTGCCCCCATGACTATTGGTATTTATTGCTGGTTGACAGCAGCCACAGTGTTCGGGACTTAATTCAGCCAGGAGAGAAGGAATGATCCCAGCCTCGAAAAACTCACCAAGCAGAACAGAAACACTATATACTCTTTCCTCCTTTTTGTTTTTACCTGTGGAAGTAGATCCAATGGGGGATTATCTGCCTTAGGGAGTTTAGAGGCCAGGGCTTTGTAGATGATCTCAATTATCTACACGAATAAGGTTATTTTGTGTATCTCTGCTGAATTTCTGTGGTATTTATCTAATAGCATAAACATAATTATTACATGCCCTCTAAATTGTAAGCCTGTAGATAATACAAGGAAGATCACAAGAAATGTGGCTGCATTTCCCTTTTCAGGATGAAACTGCTTCTGTTCATTGTTAGTGTATTTCATTCAAATAGCAGACAAGTGGTATTTTTGGGTTGCTTTCATTAAGGTAGTATATGTAGTTTTGCCCTTTTTTTTTTAATTTGCTCTCCTTGTCTTCAATTTTGTCATTTATTTMATTCATTAAAATTCTTTTTAATTTGAGGAGGAAGAAACAGGCAGAATGCTTACACAAATTCTACACTTTGGGATTGAAGCTGTAAAAAAATGTAAACTAACATGTTAAGTGGGCCATTCACTTATTAAGCATAGTAGGGATGGAAAATAAGCCCCGTGTATATTCCTCACTGGGGCCTTGGGAAAAGAATCATAGCTTCAACATTCAGACCTGTTTGCAAAAGATAAATGCAAGTATCAAGTAGAAAGTTTTGTTCTGATAGTGTATTCTGTGTCCTGATAGTGATTCTGTATTTACCCCCATTTTTCTAAGCTGATTGCAGTTGAAGTGGTCCTTTAGACACCATTTTAAGAAAAGCATTGTCATTATTTTCAGGACATGTCATAGATGCTAAATCTGTTTAATTTTCTTCTAAACTAACCTGTTTTTATTTTTC